CCCAGATCTGAACCAGCCCCCCCAAAATGGAACAGATCCCAAAAAATGGAACTGACCCCAAAAAACGGAACTGACCCCCCAAAATGGACCCAGCCCCTGCCTCGTGTACCCCTGGGGGGAAAAGGGGGTCAGGACCCCTGAGTGACCCCCCAACCCCACAACCACACTCCCCCAAAATCCCCTCCAGCCCCTCCATCTGCCCCTATCACCCCCCTAACTTCCCCTTAGCCCCCTAAATCTGCCCCCAGCCCTCCCCAAATCCCCCCCGAGTCACCTCCTCGTGCAGGTACTGGGGGATCTGGGTGGTCTTGCCCGAGCCGGTCTCTCCCTCGATGACCAGGATCTGGTGCTGGGCCACGGCCGCCACCAGCTCGTCCCGGAATGGGAAGATGGGGAGGCACCGGCGGCTCTCCCGGGCTGACTGACGGCGCCTCTCCAGCTCTGACACCTCGGGGGGGACCTCCTGGGACCCCAAAAACCCCACAGGGTCACCAGGGGACCCCAAAAAACCCCACAGGGTCACCAGAGAACCCACAGTGTCCCCAGTGCCACCCCAGTGTCATCTACAGTGTCCCCAGTGCCACCTCAGTGTCCCCCCAGTGTCCCCACTGCCGGCGCTTCTCCAGCTCAGACACCTCTGGGGGGGGCCTCCTGGGACCCCAAAAAACCCCTGGGTCACCCACAGGGTCACCAGTGTCTCCCCAGTGTCCCCAGTGCCACCAGTGTCACCCCAGTACCACCCCAGTGCCACCAGTGCCACCCCAGTGCCACCAGTGTCACCCCAGTGTCACCCCAGTGCCCCCCAAGTGTCCCTCCCGTCACCCCCAGGATCCTCCCCATCACCCCAAATCCACCCTAAACCTCCCCTAAAAACCCTTCCATCACCCCAAATCCCTCCCAAACCCCTCCCCATCACCCCAAACCCCCTCCCACCACCCCCAGGACCCTCCCCATCACCCCAAATCCCCCCTAAACCTCCCCCAAACCCCCTCCCATCAACCCAAATCCCTCCCAAACCCCCTCCTATCACCTCAAACTCCCTCCTACCACCCCAAATCCCCCCTAACCCCCCTCCCATCACCCCCAGGACCCTCCCCATCACCCCAAACCCCCTCAAACCCCCCCTAAATCCCCCCCAAACCCCGTCCCCTCACCTCTGGTGGGTTTGTTCCCTCGAGGTGGGCTGTGCTAACGAACTGCACCATCGCCCCAAATCCCCCTCCCATCACCCCAAACCCCCCTCAAACCCCCCCAAACCCCCTCCCCTGACCTCGGGGGGGTTTGTTCCCTCGAGGTGGGCTGCACTGACGAACTGCACCATCTCCTCCTCCTCCAGCAGCAGCTCGTAGTCGCGGGGGGGTCCCTGCAGGGCCGCGTCCTTCGCCCCGAAACGCAGCACGGCCGCCCCCAAACGCTGCTCCTCCCAACGCTGCTGCTCGTCACGGGGGGCCAGGGCCTCCTCACCCCCGGGTTGATCATCCTCTAGAACCTGGGACATGAGATAGAGGGACACTGAGACCCCAAAACCTCGTGCCCCCCCCGGATGATCCTCCTCCAGAACCTGGGACATGAGATAGAGAAACACTGAGACCCCAAAACCCCATCACGGGGGGTCACAGCCTCGTCACCCCCTGGTTGATCATCTTCTAGAACCTGGGATGGGGGAATAATGGAGCTGAGACCCCAAAACCCCGTCATGGGGGGCCAGGGCCTTGTGCCCCCCCAGCTGGTCATCCTCCAGAACCTGGGATATGGGAATAATGGAGCTGAGACCCCAAAACCTCATCCCCCCCCGGCTGATCCTCCTCCAGCATCTGGGAATGGGGACAGAGGGACACTGAGACCCCAAAAAACCCCCTCGGGGGGGGCAAAGGGGGCCTTGGGGGGTCCCGGGATTGTCCCAGGGGGCCAAGGCTCCGTCCCCTCCTGGATCCACCTCATCCAGCCCCTGGGACACGGGGACAAGGGAGCTGAGACCCCAAAACCCCAAAACCCAAAAGAAAAACTGCGGGATTCCCACCCTCCCAAGCCCCCAAATCCTGGGATTCCCCCCCAGATCCCGGGATTCCCACCTTTCCTTGGGTTTCCTCCGGGATGTGGTATCTGGAGCTCTTCCCCGGGCGCTCCCTGTCCCCGGTCCCTTTGTATTCCCCAAATCCTGCCGTTCCCACCCTCCTGAGCCCCCCAGATCCTGGGATTCCCACCTTCCCGAGCCCCCAAACTCTGGGATTCCCACCTTTCCCCGTGTTTCCTCTGGGATGTGGTATCTGGAGCTCTTCTCCAGGCGCTCCCTGTCCCCAATCCCTTTGTATCCCCCAAACTTTGGGATTCCCACCCTCCCAGGCCCCCAAACTCTGAGATTCCCACCTTTCCCCGCGTTTCCTCTGGGATGTGGTATCTGGAGCTCTTCTCCAGGCGCTCCCTGTCCCCGGCCCGTTTGTATTCCCGGGCCAGGTCCCGGAGCTGCCGTTTGTATTCCAGGTCGCGACGCTCCGGGGCCGTCAGGGATTCCTCCCCAAACAGGAATTCCTCGTCCTGGATCTCCAGCTCCAGCTCCTCCAGCTTGTCCCGCTCCCGCTTGGCCAGGTATTCCCGGCGGGAGCGCTTCCGCAGCTCCGGGATCTGCGGGGGAAAACCAGGAAAATGAGGGGAAATCATGGAAAAGGGGTGGGAAATGAGGGAAAAGGGGTGGGAAATGAAGAAAAAGGGGTGGGAAATGAGGGAAAAGGGGGAAAAGAGGTGGGAAATGAGGGAAAGAGGTAAGAAATGAGGGAAAAGGAGTGAGAAATGAGGGAAAAGGGGGGAAAAGAGGTGGGAAATGAGGGAAAAGAAGTGGGAAATGAAGGAAAAGGGGTGGGAAACGAGGGAAATGAGGGAAAAGGGGGGAAAGGAAAAAAAGGAGGGAAAAGGGGTGGGAAATGATGGAAAAGGGGGGAAAAGGGGTGAAAAGGGATGGAAAATTAGGGAAAAGGGATGGAAGGGGGTGGGAAATGAGGGAAAGGGGAAAAGGGGTGGGAAATGAGGGAAAAGGGGGGAAAAGAGGTGGAAAATAAGAGAAAAGAGGTGGGAAATGAGAGAAAAGGGGTGGGAAATGAGGGAAAAGAGGGGGAAAGGGTGGGAAACGGAGGAAAAGGGGTGGGAAATGGAAGAAAAGAGGTGGGAAATGATGGAAAAGGGGGGAAAATGAGGGAAAAGGGGGGAAAATGAGGGAAAAGGGGGGGAAATCGGGGAAAAGGGGGGAAAAGGGGTGGGAAATGGGGGAAAAGGGGGGAAGGGGTGGGAAATGAAGAAAAAGGGGTGGGAAATGAGGGAAAAGGGGGGATTTGGGGAGCCCACCATGGTTTTTTGGTCCTCCTCGGCGATTTTGAGGCGTTTTTGGGCTTCTTCGTAGGCCTGGAAAAAGAGGAAATGGGAGAAAATTGGAGGAAAAGGGGAAAAGGGAATCCCAAACCCACCCTGGGACCCCCAAACCCCTCCTGGGACCCACTCAGGGATCCAAATTCCCACCCAGGGACCCCCAAACCCACCCTGGGACCCACCCAAGGATCCAAATTCCCACCCAGGGACCCCCAAACCCCTCCTGGGACCCCCAAAACCCCTCCTGGGACCCACCCAAGAATCCAAATTCCCACCCAGAGACCCCCAAACCCCCCCAGGGACCCCTCAAACCACCCCCAAACCCACCCTGGGACTCTCCAGATGCTCCCTGGGACCTCCCAAAACCCGCCCAGGGCCCCCAATTCCCACTCGAGTTCCCCAAACCCCTCCAGGGACCCCTCAAACCGCCCCCAAACCCCTCCTGGGACCCCCCAAACCCCACCTGGGACCCCCCAAACCCCCCCAGGGCCCCCCCAGACCCCCACCTTGGAGTCAGGGCGTGTTTTCCGGGCGCTGTCCCGGCGCCGGAGCCGCTCGGCGAAGGCGTCTCGTTCCTCCAGGTCCCGGAGCCGCTCCCGCTCCGACGCCTCCCACTCCTCCTCCTCGGGGTCCACGGGGGGCCTGGCCGGGGGGGGGAGGCACGTGGGAGACCCCAAAAATGCAAGAAACCCCCCAAAAAATCACACCGGAAACGAACGACCCCAAAAATCCACCCAGGGACCCCGAAAAGCTGCTCAGGGAACACGAAACATGAACCTGGGGAGGTTGAAAAGAGCCCAAAAACCCACTCGAGGATCCCAAAAACCCACTTGAGAACCCCTAAAACCCACCTGGGGACACCAAAAACCCACGTGGAGACCCCAAAAACCCATTCAAGGACCCCAAAGGGACCCCAAAACCAACCCAGGGACCTCAAAAACCCACCTGGGGACACCAAAAACCCACCCAGGGACACCAAAAACCCACGTAGAGACCCCAAAAACCCATTCAAGGACCCCAAAGGGACCCCAAAACCTACCCGGGGACCTCAAAAACCCACCTGGGAGGGGTTTGGGGGAGTCCCAGGTGGGGTTTGAGAGGTCTCAGGGTGGGGTTAGGAGGTTTGAGGGAGGTTTTGGGGTCCAAGGTGGGGTTTGGGGGGACCTGGAGGGGGATTTGGGGGGTACCAGAGGGGGTCTGGGGAGTCCTGGGGGATTTTGGGGGGTCCCAGGTGAGGTTTGAGGGGTCTCAGGGTGGGGTTAGGGGGTTTGAGGGGGGTTTTGGGGTCCAAGGTGGGGTTTGGGGAGTCCTGGGGGATTTTGGGGGGTCCCAGGTGGGATTTTGGGGGGATTCTGGGGGTTGTTTCTGGGGTTTCAGGTGAGTTTGGGGGGGTCTCGGGGACACTGAAACGAGGGCACCCCAAGATCCAGGGGGGCCCCTGAGCACCCATAGGACCCCCCAGAGCCACGAGGGACCCCCAGGACCCCCCAAACCCATGGAGAGACCCCCCCATCATCACTCACGTTGGTGACCCCCCATCGCCACCCTTGGGGGTCCCGGGGGGGCTCTCGGGGGACTCCGAGCGCCGCCTCCTCCTCAGGTGGCCCCTCCTCCGCCGGGGGCGTGGCTCCTCCTCCCCCCGGCGGGGGGCGTGTCCCGGGGCCGGCCCCGCCCCCTCATCGTCGCTCTCCACCAATTGGTACCTCTGGGAGCGTCGCTGCAGCTCCAGCGCCGCCCGCTCGGCCGCGCGCCCGGGGGGCTCCCGGGGGGCTTCGCGGGGCACCTGCGGGGGGAGGAGACAACGTTAGGACACGCCCACTGGACGTAAGACACGCCCACTGGGTGCAGGACACGCCCACCGGGTGGCCACGCCCAGCGACGCTCCAAGAGCTCTGATTGGGCGATGTGTAAATTGGGAGGGGGGAGGTGGCAGTGTGGACCCGCCCCCTTCATTTTGGCTCCACCTCTGAAGAGTGTTAAGTCACGCCCCCCCTTTGTGGTTGGCCACGCCCCAACATTCTTTAGGCCACGCCCATCTGCAGTTGGCCCCGCCCATACCATACTTTAACCCCCGCCCCTTTCTGATTGGTCACACCCCTTCGTGCTGGTTCCACCCCTTGTCCTTTAAGCCACGCCCAGTCAGTGGTTGGACACACCCCTTTTTTTCGCTCCGCCTACATTTGTCTTTAAGTCACCCCCCATCTTAAGCCACGCCTCCTCCACATAAAATTCACACCCCTCATATCGCTTCTCACAAGCCACGCCCCCTAGGCCTCCCTCACCCAATCCCTGCACGAACCGCGGCAAAGCCACACCCCTCCAACAATAAAACACGCCCATCATTGCCCAAGCCACGCCCCTTCCACCTCAGGCCACGCCCTCTCCCCCTCCCACCGCCACCCCCTCCCCTCACACCGAAGCTCCGCCCACGCCCCCTCAAGCTCCTCCCACCTCCCCTCATGGCGGCCCCGCCCACCTTCTCCCACAGCTCCCTGGCGAACTCCCGCACTCGCGGCTCCTCCACCCGCAGCGCCTCCGTCTCCCGCAGCCGCTCCAGCAGCTCCTCGGTGCTGCGGCTCCGCCGCGCCAGCGCCACCAGGAAGGCGGGGACGTGGCGGGCGCTGAGCCCCAGCAGCTCCTGCAGCTGCCCGGACACCCAGCGCTCCAGCCCGGCCATGGCCGCGGCCGCCATGACGCCGCCTCCTTCCCGCCCTCCTTCCTTCCTTCCTTCCCGCCCGCCCCCCTCACGGCTCGGCCAATCGGCGCGCGGCGCGGGCCGCCCCTTCCCGCCCCCCTCGCCCCGTCAGCCAATCGGCGCGCGGCGTGGGCCGCCCCCTCCTGGCCAATCGGCGCGCGGTCCCGTCACTCCGCATGCGCAGTTCCCGGTTTCCCCCTGACGGAGCCGCGCGCGTCTTCCGGTCTCTCGTAAAGCCACGCCCACTGATAAAGCCCCGCCTCATAATCAGCATAAACCACGCCCAGCCGACTACAGATAACCTTATTAGCATAAACCACGCCTCTTCGCGGTCAGGCCACGCCCATTCTCCGCTCTACCGTAATGACGCGTCAAGAGGCGCTCCCTCTCTTTACCGTAATATCTCGTTAAAAAAGCAAATTAAAATATAAATGCGCCGTTTTCCCGCCACCGGCGACCCCCCCACGGGTGTCACCTCCCCCCCCTTCCGCTAAGAGTCATAATTAGCGATGTCACCATTTATTGTTGTGGGACAGCATCGCTGGGGGGGTTGGAGACACGGGGACACCCACCCGGGGGACACTGGGGACACTGGGGACACTGGGGTGGGGTCCTGGGGACACTCAGGTGACACGGGCGTGGCTCCGGTGGGTGTGTCCTGGTTGGTGGGCGTGACTCAGGTGGGTGCGTCCTGGTTGGTGGGCGTGTCCTCTCTGGTGGGCGTGTCTCGGGTGGGTGTGTCCTGTTTGGCGGGTGGGCGTGGCCCGGGTGGGCGTGGCTCAGGTGGGCACAGGAAGCGCCTCCTGCGGCCACAGGTGAAGCAGCGAAGGACGATTCGGGGCTGGCCCCGCCCTAAGGGGGGGGACAGGGGGGGTCTGAG